CCTCGCTTAGCCTCTAAACTCAGCTTTGTGGCGTCTTCTCCGAGCCGTCATCTTACACGAAAGCAACCGCGAAGCACGGTCCAAGGACGAACGGCCGGAGACGAAGTGCTTATGTCGATCGGACTGATATGATGTACGCGTCAATGAACTGCTTAGGGCATCTTAATCCAGAAACCGTTGTACTATACTGTTAGTTTTCATACCTACCATGTTATATAAACGCTATGTATAAAAACTATAACCACCATGTTATATAAACACTATGTATAAAAACTATGTATTTATTTTTCTCGAACGCGCAAAAGGATTGTATGTCAATATATTAGAAGAATAGAATGTTTGTTACATGACGCAATCAGTCAGACCGACTTATGCCAAGAAAGGGAAGAAAAAAAGACTAAAATAAAGAAGAGACGAAAGACTACTATGACGGCTACACACAACTCCAAATAGCTGGGAGGGGGCAGAGCCACTACCTTCCTAGGAGAACCCCAAAATTAGCGATACCAACTAAAGACCAAAGGTGGCCCTCAGAGAGGATGGACTCAAAAACCTCCGAGACCGATGACAATGCAGAGTCGAAAACTCTAGAGTTCCGCTCTTTCCACAGTTGCCAAGAGACTAGGACGACCATAGAATCGAAACTGGCCCGGAAATGCCCCGGCAAGCAAACCCTAGAAGAAGGCCACCAATCTTGGAGACAGCTACCCCGGAGAGGAGAGAGGGCAGTCCAACCAAGAGGCGACAGCACACGGAGCCAAACTTGCCGAGCGAACACGCAATCGAGGAGGATGCGGTTCGCTGTCTCAAGCTCTTGACCGCAGAAGGGGCAGGCCGAATGACTATCCAAGCCGTGCTTTAGGAGGAGGTCGGCCGTCTAGCAGCACCGCTGAAATGCAAACCAGAGGAAGAACTTGCATTTAGCAGGGCCCTTCGCGTGCCAGAGAAGATCGGCACAGGCAAAGGAGTGCTGGCCAAAAAAGAAGGCCTGGTACGCTGAACGCGCAGAGTAGCGCTGGTCGCTCGTCCAACGCCAAACAAGACGGTCTCTAACACCCGACAAGAGCTCAATTCGGAGCGCAGCATCCCAGATAAGAAGAAACTGGGAGATGACAGGGACAGTGAGGGCCCCGCGGATGTCCGAAACCCAGGAGTTGTTCGCCAGACCAAAAGCAACCGTGCGCGAACGGAGGCGCTGTGGCACAGCGAAGAGGAGGTCAGGAGCCAAGGAGGCCACTGAGCGGCCTCCATCAATCCAATTGTCAGTCCAGAAGAGCATAGATTCACCATCCCCCGGCACGAAGAAGGTGGACGCCTCGAACATGTCGGAGACAGACTACTCGACCGGGGCCTTCAAGCCATCCCAATAGGGATGCCCGGAATGCTGAAGCCAAAGCCAGCGAACGCGCAAGGCGAACCCTGCCAACCTGAGGTTAGGAATTCCTAACCCACCGAAGGCCTTAGGACGACAGACATTCGTCCAGGACACCCGGCACTGTCCCCCATGAACCGAATCTGTACCCGTCCACAAGAAGGCGCGTCGCTTCTTGTCAATGGCCTTAACAACCCAGGCAGGAAGGCCGATTGCCATAGACACATGGACTGGAATGGAGGAGAGAACAGACTGGACCAGCACGGAGCGACCAGCAAGAGTGGTGAGACGCCCCTTCCAAGGTGGTAGGCGATGAGCGACCCTGTCCACCAGTGGCTGAAGAGCTGCCTTCGGCAACTTGCGAACGGACAGCGGAATGCCGAGATAGGTGCAAGGAAAATTAGAAATTGAGCAGGGGAAGCAAGAGTGAACCAGCTCCAGGTCCTCATCCGAGCAGCGGATCGGAGTAATCGAGCATTTGGCAAAATTGGTGCGCAGCCCGGATGCCGCACCAAAGACCGAGAGAATGCCCTGGATGAACTCGAGATCCTGCTGAACCGGGGAGAGGAAGAGGACCAAGTCATCAGCGTAGAGGGAGACGCGGTGTCGCAAAGTGCGATCATTAAGCGGAAGGAACCCGCCCGAATCAGAGGCTTTACAAAGCATCGCATTGAGCACTTCCATGACTAGAATGAAAAGCATAGGAGAAAGAGGGTCTCCTTGCCGAAGACCCCTCCGGTGAAGGAAGCGCGGACCCGACACCCCATTGATCAGCACCCGGGAAGAGGAGGCGCTAAGAATGAGGGAGATCCAATCACGCCAGCACTGACTGAACCCTAGATGGGCAAGCACCTCAAGCAAGAACGGCCAGCTGACCGTGTCAAAAGCCTTCGCAATGTCCATCTTGAGAAGAAGGCGGGGAGTGCGTCTGGCATGGAGAGCCCTTGCCACGAGCTGGACATAGCAAAAGTTGTCATGAAGAGATCGGCGACGAAGACACTTTGATTGGCCTCCACAAGCCCGTCGAGGAGAGGAGAAAGACGGGAGGCCATAATCTTAGAGAACAACTTCCCAAAGCTGTGAATGAGGCTAATCGGACGGAAATCTCGAACGTCAACGGCCTCATCTTTCTTAGGAAGGAGAGAGATGAGGGCATCATTGAGGGAGGAGAAACCCTGGCCGTTAGCCAAGAAGAGGGAGTTGAGAGCCACCAAAACCACTGACTTGATCACTGGCCAGCAAGTCTTGTAGAACTGACCCGTGAACCCATCGGGACCAGGCGCCTTGTCAGAAGGCAAAGACTTAACCACCGCCCACACCTCCTCCTCCGAGAAGGGGCAGTCCAGCTCCCCAAGCTGCACCAGACAGAGGCCGAGGGAGTGGAGATCAAGAGCGAGCTCGCGCTCAACGCACGTCCCCATGATGGCGCCAAAGTGAGAAGAGGCGAGCTCTTGAAGCTCATTATGGGTGACGGCAAGCTGGTCCCCGTCTCTAAGACGTGAGATGAAGTTCTTCCGTCTTCATGTATTTAATGGATTTAATGGGTGTTTTCTTCAAAATAAATTCTCACCCTATCATCTCTTTTCTCTCATTTCATTCATCTATCATCTTTTCATTTTGGTTCATGTATAGAACTAGTTTCGTGCATGATAAATGGTTTCTTGATTATTTTTTCCTCTCGTTAACTCTCTTGCAACTTTAGCTTTTTATTATGTGATATTATGTTTGATGTTATAGAAATTAGCTAAGGTGAAGGGTTGAAACTGTTCTAAAGCTACACCACCGAGTGATTAGTGACTTGTGCTCAAACACACACACACAATTAAAGAGGATCATCGCAGATGCTTCCACTGATTTCAGTTTCGCCATGTTGACTAACCTGCACGATATGAGAGCGAAAAGAGCATAGCTCCATCCACATGCTATCCCTACCGAAAACGATATGCATTTAATCGGAGCTGCAAATATTTCTGTCCTAATTAATTAAGCTCGCGAGGAAATGAATGAGCTATAGGAGATGAAATGGTACTCGAGGTCGGCAGAAGGCAGCTAAAGATTTAAAATTGCAGGTAAATTGGTGAGATGCACGAACATTTTGACGAGTCCGAGGCTGCCAGTGCGAGCGAAGCGACGCGAGTGAGTCACGCGGGTCGTTGTAAAGGGATCGACCGTCGACGCGAGGTGAGGAAGAGAAGACGAGTCGTGAGAAAAGTTGTGCGTGGTGGGGTATCTTCCGGCGTCATCTTTTTCTTTTCGATTATGCTTATATTTATCAGCAAAAATTTAAATTTTTAACTTTAAATTCGAAATTGATTTTAAGAGTTTTTCATGGTAGTTTATTTTGTAGCCTTTACTTTTACGTCGTTAAGAATACGTATATAAAAAATTTATTTATAAATTATTTTTCATTTATAAATATGTTGTTTTGCTTTTCCCCCTCTCTCTCTCTTTTTGTTTTCCACTCCACTCAGCTCTGGACAGCTCCTAAAAGCGGTCAACTAGTGGGACACCCCCTCAACAGCTCTAATTGTCTCAGCTATGTCTGCTAAGTCGCGGAAGAATAAAGAGAATGAAGGAGCAACCAATTATAATTTATTAGTAAAACTTTAATATCTATAGACCAACATTAAAAATAGATTTCAAAGTTAAGTTTTAAAATTTATATTTTACGTATAAATGAAATTATCTGTACTTCTTCATTCGTTTATTTAAGTTCTGTTTTCTGTCTGGGGCCGAGCACACAACTCTGATCCATATATAAGGCATGGGGTGGTTTTTGAGGTTTTTTTTAATGAAGGGGTGGTTTTTGAGTGAACCATGAGGATTTGTTTTAAACTTTTTTTTGAAAGGAATTTTTTTTAACTTTTTTGGATAATTGTAATATTCTTCAGCTTGTGTGAGGATTAGAGCTTTGTGCCCATACCATATGCCATGCACATCACCATTGAGTCTGGCTGCCTGCCTACTGCTTTTTCTCCACTAGAGGCCACCGGAAGGTTGGAATGCCGGCCATCAGTCGCGAGTCGCCGGCGCACCACAATTCCAGTGGCATACTGGTCAAAATGGTCAGTCCAACCACTGTTGGATGATGGCGATACATGAAAACGAAAGCCATTTCCTGACCCACAGTAAATGAGTAATGCTGTAATGCAGCATGGGCAAGTAAAAAACCGTCAAAAAACTCTTCAGTGACCGGAAAATTGAAGTGCAGTAAAAAGTTCAGGAAAAAAGATAAAGATTTTTTTAGCACTGCAGTATTGAGCTTTTATCCTTTTCAGACTTGCATGATAGTAGTGTATTACTCTTTGTCTAAATAATTTAGACTTGGCAGAAATTTCATCGCAGTTGTTGCCGCTTGTTGTGCACTTCGGTGTAAGCGTTCCTTGTTGCATCAGACAACAAGATTTGGAGGTCATCCAAAAACTGCAAGAAGGAATCTTTTGCAGTTGAAAGATGAGCGAAAAAAAGAAGAAGTGCAAGAATTAGATAGCATCTTACCAGGTGATGAAGCGAGATCAGAGTCAGAGACGTGTTCCTTTCATGAGAGGAGAAAATGAGTCGAAGGAAGCAACCAAATGAAATCAGCAGAAATTAATGGCGTAAACACAGGCTAAATTAGGCACAGTTAGAACTGACGATCAAGATGTGTTTCTTTTCCGTTGTTTCTTCGCGAGCAAATCGCTCAATGAAGTGAGAAAAAAATTACAGCAATTAAGCACCAAGAACGAGTACGAACAGTACATACTGCCGAGCAGTGCTCATATCATAAATAATCTAAGCAGCGCGACGCGCGTCGCCGACGTGCATAGCTCGATCACTCGAACGACGGCGAGGCGACGGCGACGGCGGCGGCGGCGGAGGAGGAGGAGGAGGAGGCTACCCTCGGGGACGTGACGGGGAACAGCGGCAGGAGGCGAGGCGGCTCGGCGCTCCTCGGCGACGGGTGGAGGAAGAACCCCTTCTGCGCGATGGCCGCGGCCTCCTCCTCCGGTGACGCCGACGACGACGCCGACGCCGGTGACCGGTTGAAGGGGTCGGCCACGAGCGGCGTGACGGGGCTGAGCGCCAGCGACGGGAAGTCGAGCACGCTCGGCGACAGCGCCTCCTGCTGCTGGTGCTGCGCCGCCTTCCTCGGCGACGACGACGCCCCCGCGGCCGCGGCCGCCGCCATCGCCAGCGGCGCGATCATCTTGAAGTTCTTGTGGACGCCGCTCCGGCGCTCGTACAGCTTGAACGCCTGCTTCTTGGGCCGGCATGGCGCGCCGCTGTGGTGGTGCTGGTGGTGGTTGCTCTTGGCCGGCGGCCTCTGTGACGGCGGCGTGGTGTCGGAGCCGGTGAGCATCTGGACGACCTGCTTGAAGGAGGCGGTGTCGGCCTGGACGAAGGTGGTGGGGAACGGGGTGGTGTCGATGGTGCGCGGGACGACGGTCCTCGGGGAAGGCGGGAGGGCGGGTTGTGACGACGACGACGGCGGCGGCGGCGGCGGGCGGTGGGACGACGGCGAAGAGGAGGCGGCGGCGGCGGCGGAGGATGGGGAGGAGGAGGAGGTGGAGGAGGACGGGGAGTTTGGGTCGTGCGCCATGGACGGGAGGAGGAGGAGTTGTTGCTTCCGAGCAGCAACTTCCATTGCAGGAGACGCGAGGCGAGAGGAGGAGCGGTAACCGGAGAAGCGTGGGAATAAGAAGGCGGAGAGAGAGGAGGGGAGGAGGGTAGTAGAGTTGAAATGTTTGATGCGACTTGGTTAGCGGGGGACTTCAGTTGGCTGGTGCTCAATATTAAGTTGTAGGCACCGACCAGTTCAACCCAAAAGCCTAATCTGATAGGAAAATTCGGGCAGTTCACTTTAATACACTCCAACACTCCCCCTCACGCGAGACCCCCTCAAGTCTCAAGCGTGGAATATTGGAGTGGGCTGCAATTATTTTATTTAATTGCGCGCTAGCCAGGATTCGAACTCGAGACCTCTGGCTCTGATACCATATTAAGTTGTAGGCACCGACCAGTTCAACCTAAAAGCCTAAGCTGATAGGAAAAGACGGGCAATTCACTTTAATACACTCCAACACTCAAGTCGTCTCACTGTCTCAGACTCTCAGCCTCTCTGTTATTTTCTCTCTGTGTGTGTGTTGTTTTATTTTTCCTCTCACAGGTTATTTTGCTGGTTTTCAGTTTGACAGTTTCTGTATCTCACCTTCTAATAATAAGTCTGGATTGTCTGTTTTGAGGTTTCTGTTGTGGTTGGTGGGAGTATAGTGCGATTGTGGTAGTAAAACTGTATTGCTCCCTTAAAAATTACCCCCTAACGGGTTTTATTATATAACACCGTTGATTTTCGTTACAAACTTTGACTATTTATTTTATTTAAAAATTTTATGTAAATGTTAAAAAATAAGCGATACTTAAATTTGTTATTGATAAATCAAGCCACGGCAAAAATAATATTTACTTAAATATTTTGAATAAGACAAATTATTAAACATGGTTAAAAAAATCAACAGTACCATATAGTAAAAACAGAGGTGATATCACCTCTTTATAAGTAAATTCATGTTTTTTTAAATTAATGGTATTCTCTTGTTTTGAAAGAGTTTAGGAGATATTAGATTTTTTTCCTTGTAATTTTTCAGGTGAAAAACACAATATACAGAGTGAAGGAAAACCAAAAGAAGAAATTGGATCGTTCCATACTAAAGATTTTTTTTCTTATCATATACTCTATTAAAAGACAATTACGTGTGTGAAATTCTCTTTTTTTACCTCTTAATTTTGCTTCAAATTTCCTATTTGGTCAAGTCTTTTGAAAAATAATATCCAACTAGTTGTGAAATGATCTATTTGTCCTAATACATATCTTGTTTTATTCATCACCTACCAGACAACATACTATACATCTTCACTCATGTCGTGCCAAGTGCCAACCAGTGAGAAGTTTCCTCACTTATGGGTCTTTGTGGTGGCATGGTTAGTACGGGACAATAGAAATGACAGTGTGATGGCTATTGAATGGCTTATTGTTCTAACTTGTCTAGTTTTTTTTTACTGTTTGATTTTTTTTAATTTGTTGTGTCAACATTTTAAAATACACACTTCTCTATAACCTCATTTATAAGAGCCTGAATATGATCACTCTTCCAAAGAAAATAGATGGAAAATAGCACATTGCTGCCCTGATCAATGGCAACAAAGATGCCATAGCGACAATGACCATTAATATCGAAGGTAAAACTTCATGGTGGCGACACAGGACACAAGTAGTATAAACGAAACGGTGTTGCAAAACAAGATACCCTAGTTATAGTAAGTCATTACTCAAAAATTAAAGCCACATCTTTCTCACCTAACAAACGAATTTCTAAAGAGAAATATCAAAACGGAAGGAGAAGTGGAAAGATGCCTTTGCTGAAGAAATGCGCCAAGCATTGACTTGGGCAACCTCCAGCCTTGACCCCCGTCAGCAGCCTAGCACTAGCAGCAGCAGCTGCTGCCGCCTCCGTGGGTGGTGGGCCGGACAAAAAAAATGCTTCCTTCTTTCCTCCCCTGAATTATGGCTTCTTCTTACTTTCCGAAATATAGAAATGCAGAACTAAATATAGAGTATATTCTAATCCAATGAATCTGAACAACTTCTTATCAAGATTCATTTAAGAACAGAGTTAGTACAAAATTTACCATGATATCTGTTAATACGTTTTTTAAATTGAAATGGCATGTTTCAAGAAAAATATATAATAGTTGCTTTGAAATATATGAAAAAAATATGCTTTCAGATTTGTAGTAATTAGAACTGCTAATGATTTTTTTGTTTTGTTTTACGTGTGCTGACTTCATCCTCACTGTCAAGTGATGAGTCATCGCCTCGTACCAGCCTGCCCCTGCCTTCCTGCTGCAACCGTGTGGTTGCCGGATTGGAGTAGGTAAGATGGATTTTACTGCCACTGGAATTTCAGTGCAACGCCCATGCACGTACCGGCAGGACGACGACGAGAACGACGACAAGGAGTGTAGTGGTAGTGAAAAAAGGTTTTGGAGTGGTCTCTGTCACGGTGGAAACCGGTGGTACTACGCCCCTGCTTTCTCTGGCTCATCATGGGACTTTGTGAAAGCTGGTATGTGCCAAGTCAATTCCCTTTCTCTTTTCTGTATGAAACCCATTATCGCTGAGAAATTTCTAGCACAGTAGTGAGTCCGGGTTTAGTTATCAATTTCTTTTTTCAAAAAACTTTACATTAAATCTTTAGACACAGGTATAAAGCATTAAATATAGATAAAAATAAAATCTAACTCCACAGTTTATATGAGAATCGCGAGACGAATCTTTTAAGCCTGGTTAGTCCATGATTAACCATAAGTGCTACAACAACTCACATGTACTAATGACGGTTTAATTAGGCTCAAAAGATTCGTCTCGCGTTTTTTTTGGCGAGTTATGAAATTAGTTTTTTCATTCGTGTCCGAAAACCCTTTCAATATCCGGTCAAATATCCGATGTAACACCCATGAATTTTCTTTTTAGCAGTACTATGAGATTAGGAGTATATTTATTTTGGACTTGGCATTCTTATGTTCCCTTGTATTTTACGTCTCCAATGTGATGAGTACTACATGGATTACACGGGAACTGGACTGTTTCTTACTACTACAACTTCTAGATTATAAATCGAGCTTAGATTATTATTATTTTAAGAAAGGGAGATGAAAGTGGGAACTCTCTAGGCAGGGGCCAAAATTAGCTCGGTCACATCCACTTTCTTAGGAAAAATTAATCCTTTTTGTTAAAAAAAAAACTTTCGAGAGTCCTAATGTGGGGCTCGTAACGATTAATCATGGAATGAATGCCTTCTCCGGACATGCCTCCGCAAGTTAATTAATCCCTTTTTAAATTCCGGCATTAGTGCGCTAGTGAGGACAACCCGTACCGTAGCAAAACAGCATGAATGTAACATATCAATACACGGAGCACTAAAGTATACTAAAAGGGAAATTGAACAGCGACCGTGCATACTCGAGAGATCGACCAGAAAGCCCAGATTCTAGATGGATGCAAATTGGATGCACGATGAAAAGATGAACCAAGAAACCGGGCATCCAGTTCCAGTTTTGACGGCCACGAGAGCAAATTCTGGCCGGTTCAATGCACCATTGATTTGGTTAGTATTATATCCAGTCCACGGCGTAGAATGGGAGCACACCGATTACGGGTGTGTTCGGCACCTCTTTTCCCAACCCATCTCTTTCGTTTGTTGCGCGCACGCTTTTTAAACTGTTAAACGTTGTGTTTTTTTAAAAAAAGTTCATATATGAAATTTGCTTAAAAATCAAATTAATTATTTTTTTAAAAAATAGCTGATACTTAATTAATTACATGCTAATGGATCACTCCGTTTTCAGTGCTCTGAGATAGGTTCCAACTTCCTCCCGCGAACGCACCCGTACTTGCAGCCCAAAAACGAGAAGGGGAACAATAGAAAGCAAGTGAAAGGATGCTGCTGGCCACAATTGATAAATCTAGGAAGATCACAGAGGGCAGAAAGGGAGAATACGTTGCAAGTGGCTCATATTTCACCGAGATGAGATGAGACGATCGCACTCGACCGGTCGACACTCGTTTTTTGCGTGATTCGATCAAAGTAAGGCCTAGTCAACCATCATCTTTTACACTTTCTACGGTACTAGTAGCAGCGGATTCGGTAAAACCCTGATTAAATCAAACAGCGTGTTCTTCTCTAAAAACAAACGGATTCACGCAAAAATTCTTAGTTCCAGATGACTAATCCTCCTCGTTTTTTTTAACAAAATCCGGCGAAACAGGTGACATGTCGCGGAAAACCGCGGTAAAAGCCGGGGCGACAATACATGGACAAGATGTGGGGCAAAAGGTTTAGCGAGAATAGTGCAGTAACCTTCCTGACTTCGTGTGATTCTGTAGTTTCTGCTCTCTGCTCCCTCTGTTCCCCTTTCCTGTTTTTCTTTTTTTTTCTTTTCCCCACCATTCGGTGATCCTCACTCGCTTAGACTGTGTTTCGTTCAGCGCAAAGTTTGTATTTTGGTTAAAATTGAAGATGATGTGACTAAAAAGTTGTGTGTGTATAATAGGTTGATGTGATGGAAAAAGACTGAAGTTTGAATGTAAACTTGGATCTAAAGACAGCCTTAATATAAAACCAGCAAAAGCTGGCTTAAGTTTTTTTTAAAAAAAGCCGGGGCGTGACAGATGGCACGAGACGGCGGCTCGGCGAGGAGACATCAGCAGCGACCGATCGACCGCCGGGTCGGCGGCGGTGGCCTCGCGCTCGCCAATCGCCATGCAGCAGCAGCCAGCAGGCAACGAGACCGGGAGATCTCGGCCGAATCCGCGCCGGGTCCCAGCCTGATCCCAGCGCCGCCCGCGCGCGCGCGGTCGACGCCACTCGCCGTCAAAAAGGCCGTAAGCCGAGCTCGATCGCCTCGCTTTCCACCGGGTTTGACATGTATCGGCGTCGCTGCCGTGCCAGCCAGCAACGCGGGCGCGAGGGCGAGGCCAGCGGGAGGGGGAGACGAGGGGATCGGAATCATCATAGCACCACGCCACCACCCTGGTCAAACGACGGTCCGTCGCGCACTCGCGCCGCGTAACGTCGCCTTCGTTGCTGTTTTTGTGCGACTGTGCGAGGATCGAGTGGCTTCTGATTTTGCACAGGCCAAATGAAAAAGTTACCTATTCCCTCTATCTAAATGGGATATTGCTACACATACGAATGGTACGTACGATTTGTGT